GCACCTTACATGAAGGAGACAAGCCTTTTTTGGGTTACACAGACCTGTCATGTTTTTTTTTGCTGTTTGGGGTCGAGGCTGGTGTAATTTTTATATGAATAGAAGTTATTCAGATTGTATTGATATAGTAGATGAAGTAGAGAAAGTTGAGCAAGTAATAATAGTTGATAACCAATTTTAAAACTGTTGTACATTAGAATGAATTAAGTTAGGAATGCAATATATCAAGAAAATGTCAACCTTAATATATATGGGAAGAAAGAAAAGCAAACATAGTACAACGTCTTCCTGCGGTTCTTCAACAGAGGAAGGTAAAAAGAAACACTTAAACAAACATCAGTCATTGAGTTTGTGTGTCCAATGTGTCAAAAGATGTTAGAGATGAAGAACGAAATAGATGTACAAAGAAAGGAAACTGTAAATGCTCTTGGGCGCCTCTTGGTTTCAATACTTGCAAGAATGATAAGAAAGTGAATATTGAGAACACTAAAGATGGTGATATTAACCTTGAGCCTGACGCACACAATAAAGTTTTAAATGGGGAAGGCAAGTTACACCGTCCGATAGCGGTGAAAGTGAAACGCAGAAGATTAGTATTCAGACAGTTTAGTTTTAAAAGTTTTACTTTGTAATGTAGCAATATGGAAAGCGTAGATAAACTGATTTTGAGAATTGATGAGATAACGGAACAGAACAAACAAATATATTCAACACAAAGACACCAACATATACTAATAACAACTAGCAATTGAAAGAAGTATATAGAGATAGTCAGGAATATCAGAGCAAGGGAGGTATATATGATATATCTGAAGAAAATAAATCGAAGAGAAGTCACAAACCGAAGCAATCAACAATGGATTATTACAAAAGAGAATAGGACAAGGAACTTAAACTTTATGTTGAATTATTAACTAAAAAATGCGTGTCTCAAAAGCGATTGGTCTATTCCTGCTACTTTGTAAGTTTTATTACCCGTAAGACCATCTTCAATTTTTATCAACTTTGAATAAGTTATTACCCCAACGACTGACATACTCTCTTCTGTCGGTGAAATTGCCCGTTCTCTTGTGAAACGCTTTTACCTTATCGTTCTCCTCTCTTCTGGGATACTTTCTTTTGTTCTCGTAGGCTCAGATTGACATTTACAACTATTTTGTTGTTGTCCTTGTGTGCTTCGGCTCGGTGGGTGTCATCTTTGTTGATGAGCGCAATGTGCTGTCAGACTGTTTCAATGCTGGTGTTAGGGCGTCGGTACATTTCATGTTGGTAAACCTAACTCGGTCGTGAATTTTGTTTTTTCATTGTCCTCATTAAGCCGCTCTGCTACATTGGTGTGTGTGTGTGTGTCTTCTTTGGTTATGTGTGTTATACCTTCACTTTCAGTAAACTTTTGGACATTGTTTTTCTTAGCGAAAGCGCCATCGTCATCGGAATGCACCCACATACTTTATCCAATTTTTTGCAACTCTCTCTCAATGCTTTCTCAACACTTTCACCATCTCTATTGAACATAGGCACTACGCCCGCTAATTTGCTGAAGATATCAGGTACAAGTAAAGCATATTCTGGCGTGTCTTTATCCCCAACAAGCGGTGTCATGTGCATTATGTCTATTTGATGGTCATAACGGGCAAACGGTGCAGTAAATGAATTGGTGCTTCTGTAATTTCTTGATTTGTTTATTTGGTTTTCTCTGTAAGAAAGACTCAACACCCTCTAATGTTATTGTTGGGTCTTCTTCTTTTGCTTTTTCTGAGTTGCCTGAATACTACCATAACCAGTATCCAGATTGTAAAAGCGAGGTTAAACAGATGCCCGACAAAAAAGTCATTAGGAACACGGTTTACAACAGGTTTAGACAAAGCATTAAAACCAGAATATGGACGTGATAATATGTTATAGTTTTATACTATGATAGTGCTTTCAAGTTTCATTATAATTTGCTTTTCCATAGCAACGATGCTCACACATCATGTCATTCATTTAGTGTTTCAATGTGTAGGGATTTTCTGAAAGCGTTGAAGTGGCAATAAATTGAAAACAAAGACAAGGTCGTTTATAAAACATTTTTGATAACGCTTTTTATCATAGATTTGTTTCTTATTTGTTAGAAAAGAAAAGGTTGATTATAGTTTGGTTTAACCATAGAGATTCTGATGATATTGATAGTGGTTATGCTAGAAAAGAAAAGGTTGATTATAGTTTGGTTTAACCATAGACATTCTGATGATATTGATAGTGGTTATGCTTAAGTTTATTCAGATTATTTAATCATAATATGATTAAACATTGTTTTATAAACTAACAAGAAGGTTAAGACATGTAAATTAAACCTGAAAAGAAGACTAACCGAATAGTCGCCCCAGTCCGAAAACTACTTAACAATATACAAACCTTATATAGTAAGAGAAAATGGGCGAGAGCAAAATGTCTGAGAATAATTTTAGGGTTGAGAATTGGACAAACTTACCTGAGGGTTTAGTATTAAGAAGGAAAACTAATAATTTACTTGTTGAAGTATTGAGTAGTATTATATCCTTCAAATTTGGACAACCAGAGCATATGATAATAAACCATTGTCACAATAAAGCATTTATGAGGATACAAAGAAGATTTAAAGTAAACAGACTGGAAACAAACATAAAAGCAAAGATTGTTACAACTGATGTGGTTGGTACAGTAAAGAAACATTTTTTGAATATTACCTTTCAAGGGAAGTGCCATTAAGCGTTGAGAGTATTGAAGATTTAGTGATGAAAGAAGGAGATGAAATAGACGCATTAAGAGATATGCATGTAAATGATGACGATTATGAAGACGACTATGAAGCAACTATAGTAGTTGATGCAGACGTAAGGGCAAGATTTCATCATTTAGTTTGGAGCTGATTTTAAGTAATTAAACCTGATTTTATGTCTTCCTGCAATACTCATTCTCTCTCTGGCATCATCTATATCTCTACTTCCTGTTGCAAGTGCTTCATCCATTACACAATATATTATTTTGGTGTATCGAAAAAATAGAGTCAAGACCACTATTAAAATCAAAACTCGGAGTACTCAAATCGTTTTCTTAATCAGAAATTATGGTGTGCTTCATTTACAACCTTATATGTTATAATTACACTGTAATTTTGACCTATAACAAATTTCCAATGACGAAAATGATGTCAAAACACATGCACCAACCAACACCCCAGACATAATAACTACTAAAAGGGCTACGTCATTGAAATGAAAGATTGTCAGCCGCCAGCCCAACAATGAAACAGGCGACAATTTATCCAAATGACAACCTTGACGAAAACGATAGATAACCTCCCCAACAACACCCTTTTCAAAACGAAGAAGGTGGGTCAACAGGTTTGGGGTGAACATAAAAACCAGAACAGGCAACCCTCAACACCCCACCCCTCAGTCCCGCCCTTTTTACCATTGTTTGGCGGAGGCGGGGTGAATTACAGCCTTTCCTTGGAGTTCTTGAACCATCGCTCCAGAAAGGGCCTTGGCATCCCGATTGGTGGTGGTGTAGTGCTCTACTTTTGTGATAGCATTGCAACAGTCGAAAGTGGTTGCAATTCCAACAGCCGTGCCTCTTGGGGATGCTGGCCTTCATCTTGTGCCCAGGGTCTCGTGATGGCGCCTCCAGCTATGTTGCGGTGAGGGAGGCTGGGGCGGGCGTAAAACGCCGGGCCGCGGTAATGATGGAAGGGCTGTTTGCTTGGGCTGCATCGAAGGCGCTCGTTTCCCCTGAGGTTCCCACCAACCCGAACCGCGGCCTTGTCTTTTGGCAATGTTCCGCGAAAAGCAGCCACAGACTGGAGCAATTTGGCAGCCACTTCTGGAAACCACTCCTTTTTTTGCATTTTTCAAATCAGTGTACGAGGCATGTTTCAATCGCCCTCTTGCAAAGCTGCCGGTTTTCGCCCTTCGGAGATGAAGAATTCTTCCTTCGACTGGCGCCCCCATCCCCTCGCCGCTCAAGGCCGTGGCGTCGCTGTGGCGCTGGGAGCCCTTGCCCGACCAGTGGCCCGGCACCGACCCTTTAAACCGTGGCACGCGGAGCGTGGGCCGAGCGTTTTTTTTTTTTGGGGGGGGGGTCTTCTGTTGCCAGCTTGTGTTTTTTTTTGCTCTGAGATTTGATTGCTCTGACTGATTGTTCTCTCATGAATTCAAAGCTAAACATTGTTAGTGTGAGCGGAGAAAAGTAAAAATGAACAACGAACATGTAACTCAGAGTCACCACACGTATCAGCGTTGTTCTCAGCGATATATCCTATGTTAAACTGCGATGGTGGATGACAGACAAGCTCTCCTTTTTTTCCCCAACAGCTGAAAGCTTTGGGGTCTCAGCCCAGACAGGCTCCGGGGTGGTCCGGGGCGGCCCTGAGGTAAGGTTCCACGAGGGTTCCACCAGGGTTCCACGAGGGTTCCACCAGGGTTCCACCAGGGTTCCACCAGGGTTCCACCAGGGTTCCACCAGGGTTCCACCAGGGTTCTACCAGGGTTCCACCAGGGTTTCACCAGGGTTCCACGAGGTTCTGCGAGGGCTGCGGGGTAGTGCGAGTACGAAAAAAAGCACCGCGTGCTGTTGGGGATATCACCTGAGTTTATGTTCTATTCACTGGTTCCTGTCATTGGTGGGAACCTGATCGAAACAACCAAAGACGGCAAGATGTGGCGTTTGAATCCATGTCTCGCGGAGCCTTTGTACCTTGGCATTTGTTGCGATGCATTTTCGGCGATCCTTGTCACAGGAACGTGGTGCTGCGCGTCATCTCGGGCAGACACACTGGCGCCTTGCTGTCTCTGCAGACGGGCACGCTGCCCGAGGATCTCCGCTGCTTGGCTGGCAGTTGGGGGGCGGTGTGGGGGGGCCTTTGCCTTTGTTGGCTGCCCCCGGTGTGGTGCCTTTGCCTTTGTTGGGGGGGTGGTCTTGACACACTGAGGTGACGACAACTCGGTTTATGCCATGGTTCATATGTGCCCCGGCCGCAGGACTCACGTCTTTGCAAGAGCGAGGAAGGGAGGGTGTGGCGGGTGTGGGGAGTGGCCACGGCCTCCCGCGATATCCCGCGCCTTTGGTCCATGGCCCGGCGATTGCAACGCGTTCGGGCCGCCCAGGGACCCCGCCTTTGCCACGGCCTTCCAGCTGACACCGACGACCTGAAGCAGCCGACGCGCACGGCATGCGGGCGGCGGAGGCCCAGGAAGTTTTTGCGGCGCGAGCTGGACGAGCTGCAAGGGGCGCGCGCGCGAGCGAAGGAAAAGCAGAAACGCGCGCGAGGGTGCCGAAGGCTTGTGAAACTTTGAAGGATTTCGGGGGCCTAGGCCTAATCCAAGGGGTGCCTGCTTTGTGTGTTGAGGCAGCTGTTCACCTTGCAGGGGGCGGTTTTTGGATCTGAGGTCAAGCTCGATCAGAAGGGTGCGCCTTTGCGGCGTAAGGTGCGGCCGTCCGATTGATCCGTCGCGGTTTTCCGGTTTTCGCTTAGCATGGCCGCGGGCGGAGGCCGCAGGCTCAGTTGGCTATGGGGTTCCTCATGCTCGTGCTGGCCTCGCGCAAATTTGCACTGTATGTGATGGGAGTGAAGAGGTCAACGTTGAACCAACTGCCCGTGCCTCGCGTGGGAATTTTCATGGGTTTAGCATCCTTCCTGTTGGGGAGTGAATAGGAGGGCCCAGGTGCAAGATCAAACAAATCAAGCAGGGACACAATAGCTGGTTCACTGATACAAGGCTGGCATGTGCTTGACTGCTCCAATGTAGCCAGGAGAAGAAATCCACGCGGGAGATAGAACTCAAGGCGGGCGGAGGAAGGGCTTTGTCCGCGGGTGGGATGACATGGTTCCACAATAATGCGTCGGGAATAGCGCCTTGAGAATGCAAAATTTGCCTGCAGGGGCTGTTGCTTGCATGTTGCTGACCAGTGAACGCACAGGCGTCACGCTCAGCCGCTGTGGGATTCGCGTGCTGTTGGTCCTTTGGCTCAGGGTTGCGGCTTGCGCAACTCCATCCATTCGGCATACCGGCAGGCAGCCTGGGGGAGTCGCATTGAGGCGCTTGAAGTTTACTCAGCACCCTCCAGCCAGCTCAAACCACCCCACAGGGGGCCGTCCGCCAGACATCGTCCCACTGGAATTTGGGCATAGCTGCGCTCCAGAATGCTGGGCACCCTGCTGGCTTTGGCAGCTTTCCAGGCTGGGGGCGTGCGTCGCGCATCCAAACTAGGAAGGTTTTTCCCGAGACCATGGGTGACACATGGTGATGATACATTGCTTCCACGTGCACTTCCGGAGCCTGAGTTGGTTCCATGCTGGTGCAATCCCTTGATCCGTGAAAGCACATGCGCGGCAAAGCCGAGGAATTATGGTGGGCCCAGGGTGCAACTCCAATAGGGCGCCACGGAAAGGGTTGGCATATGTTGGGCTCCTGCAAATTGGTGTTGCCATTTCTCAGGGTTCCATGTCGGCTCAAATCCGATGCGGGTCCAAGGTACAAGAAAACAAGGATAAACGAAAAGGGTCTATGTTGGGTTCCTTGAAATTGCGCCTTATTTCAGGTAATCTCCGATTTGACGCAAAGGATCATTCAAAGCATTTGATGAACAGCAGGCTTGTCACCATGCACACCCCCATATATTCCGGAGAAATCTGGAGACCGATTTGTTTGTACACAACAAAGGCAGGGAATTAGACGGGATGCCATCGTTGTTTTTTTCTTCCTCCTGGGAGCCATGCCCCAAGTTGGCTTTGAGACCAGGGCGCCGAGCCCCTGGAGACCGCGGCGCCGGATTTTTCTCGGGCCGCGGGGCGCCTGCGCTGGACGGAAAAAACTTAAAACAAACGCGAGACTGGGATGTCTCAGCTGGGCTCAAGCGGAATTAAGTTGTTTGTGGAAATGGTTGCGTGTTTGCACGGGGACATGATGGATGCCGCACAGCGCAGCGAGTAATTTCCATCATCATGCAGAGGGGAGTCGTCCACTCATTCTGGGCACGATGTCTATTTGCTGGCAGGCACACGCAACAAACAAACAGCCCGCTACGAAGAAACTGGGTCTCTCACCCCTCTCATTTGGCATTCACGCAACTGCTGCCTCATCCCCCCCCAACTTCTGTTTGGGACACATTGGAACACTCAACACCGGGCAACACCGGGCTCTGGGCAACACTGAACACACTTGACACTGGGCAACACCCAACACCGGCAGAAGGATTCTCTTTGGAGCCCACCCCCCGCCGCCGCGCGGCCCAGACACCGGCAGGATGTGCCGCCAGGAGCGGGCGAATCCGCCCGCGCTGGTGTCCTCCTGGGTGCGGCAACGCTACGAGGCTCCTTTGATGCGGGGCCACGGGGGGGACCCGTGCACTCGGGCATCACGGGTTGGTTCGCCTTGGAGTGGGGTTGTTTTTGCGATTGCTTGTCATGTGATGTTGCCTGGTTTTTGCGCTTCCGCTGGTCATTTGTGTTTGTCCATCTTGCTTTCCTATGATGTGACATTGTGTGTTTTCCTTGTTTTGCTTCAAGCGGTTTGTCTGCACGTCTACTGCGTTGAACGCTTGCCATCTTTGCTGACAGTGACTTGCCACGTTTGAAGCAAGCCATATAATCTGTTATGTGTTCTCACCCGAACCCCAAAGTGTGTTTGACAGGTTTGTTGCAAACCGCGGGTGCGGCGTCCCATTTCCGTCGCGTTTGGCCAGTGTTTGCTGTCAAGTTCCCTCAGGTGCTTGGCCTTCACGACCTGCCAGATCGAGGTGACCCCGGAGAGGACCGGGGCTTGATTCGCATGGCTTGGGGAGCGGGCGGATTCCTTGGTCCTTTGGGTGTTTTGGGTGTGTTGGGTAGGTGAATGGATCGGGATGTCACTTTGGGTGATTTGCATCTTGAAAAAAGGGGATCGAAGCACAGCCTTCGTATGGAGTGCCCGGCTTCCGACTCTGGGTCCAAAGGTTTAACCTTGCTGGTGAATCGCTGGCTACTTCTTATTCATCCCTTCCTTCCTGGCTCACCTAGACTAGGTCCCCCAGTGCCCTTTTATCGTTTCTTCGGGAGGGTTCCCCTACTAAAATAGACTACAGAAAAAAGGGCACCCTTATTGTAACCTGTCTACAAGAGGGCCTAGGAGAGGAGTTTGGCAAGACGCAGGGCTTGCGCCAGACAAATCGCATCTTTTCTGTGCCGGCGGTTAGGAGCTTCAGCCGCGCCGGCAGCCGGAGGCGCGGGCGAAGGCGGGGGAGCTCTTGGTGACCTGGAGCACCAGCCAGGAGACCTTCGTGCGCCGACCAACGGGGATCAGCTGGTGCAACCGGGGTACCGAACTGGACAGTTCTTTGGTGGCCTGGCTGAGGGCTGTGTGTAACGCCCAGGGTGTGGGGGGTAGCTCAAGCAGAGAGCAGGATTGCCTTACACATTTTTGGGATGTGTGTTGAGGACGGTAGGGGCCCTTACCAGTAGAAGCATACATGGCTGCCCGTATGTTCTGGGCTTCCCTCAAGACAAGGCAATGGGCAAGGTGAATTCGTCCGGAGCTTTGCGCAACGCAGGACTTGCCCTCGGTGTTGGCGCAGTTCGTTGCTGGCCAGCTGTCACCCGAGCAGGCCGGAAGCACCCAGCGGCCAGCGCCCATTTGGTTTCAAGCCTTGGGCGCCAAGGAACCCCGCGAAATTGTCCTTTTTTCCTTGGAAGGCTGGGTCCCCCAGTCCCCCAGTAGTGCCCTTTTACCCCTTTTTTGGGGAGGGCCCTACTAAAATAGACTACACCCAGAAAAAATCTACTGGAGGAAGGAGCTCCAGGACCTGGGTTCGGTTTCTGGGGGCTGTCCAGCTGGTTAGGTGTGGCAGACCTGCGCGGCCCGCTCCCTCGCCCGGGCCTTGGAGGGCGTGGCCGAGGCGGGGTTGCCTGGGTTTGATTGGGCTTCCGTTCGGGGGGGGGGGGGGGGTTTTCTGGAGAGGCACCATTTCGAGAAAGAGAAAGAATTTAACATCTACCCTTTCCCCTTCAGCCCCAAGGGGCGCAAGACTGAAGGCGGCAAGCCGCCTGGGCCGCCTGGGTGTCTCCTTCTTTTTCCTGGCGCGGCTTTTTTTGTGAAGAGACAGGCACCCCCCCATGTTCACGACCTTCATAACCCCCATGAATGTATGGGTCATTACACCGAAGCGGGCCAGGGCACCGCAGGTTTCAGTCCGTGTTTCCATTTCCCAGGGCAACCCATTTCGAGTACCCCTTTTTTTTGACCCTTTCCGTCTCAGGAAAGTTGCAAGGTGCTCGGTTTCCCTGGGTCCTCTTCTCTTTTTTTTGGGTGGGGGGAGGCGGGTTCCCTCAATTCAACCGGCACGAAAAAAGCAGAAGCAAGAACAAAAAGACAGCCGGTTTTTCCCATGGACATCCGCCTCATGGCCTCTGAGATCCTCCCATAGAGGCGGACTGCAACTTCCTGGCCAGCGCCTACCTGGTGAAACACCAGCGCTGGGAGGCGGCGCGGAGCTGGTGGACGCCTGGCCGGCGAGGCGTTTTTTTTGGCCAACAAAAATCCTGGAAACTTTGCTGTGGGTGTGGGTGTGGGTGTGGGGGTGGGTGTGGGTGTGGGGGTGGGGGTGGGATGCTTGGCGCCAGGTGCAAATTTTAGGGAGGATCTGGGGGTCACCCCTTCCTTCTTTTGGGGTGTCCCCGAAAATTGTGAATTTGGTTTCCTTGCAGTTTTCCGTTGGAACCACCAGTTCTCAAACAACCCCCCCCTCCCCTTTCAGTTAGCGTGGCTTTGCTGGGCTTTGCTTGCTGATGGATTCCAGCGCGAGACTTGGCGTGCTTTGCAAAGCTGCCCTTTTGGGTTTTCATCATTCTTCGCAAAGCCACGCAATGCCACAATGCTTTGGTTGTCAGACGTCAGGGTTCCACGCCTTCTGAGTCTTCCTTGGGGAGCATGCTACACCTGGGCTCCCAGCTTCACGCAATGTTTGAAGCACTTTCTGGGATTGTTTTGCACTTTAAGTGGCGTAGATGTTCACTAGTTCGTTTGGGAAAAGCTGACTTTTCACTCTGCAGAAATCGAGTTGCTCCTGGTTTCAAGCGGGGTTCCTGGTGGAGGTTGGCTTCGAGATTTGTCCATCCACAGGGAACTTGCTCGCGAGGGCTGTTTGCTGAAGGCAGGAGCTTCTCCCTTCAGGAAAGGGGTCCCAAGCGGATTCCGATCGATTGCGCCACCAAACCGCGCTCACGCGATGTTCGCGCCAAACGATTGTCAGAACGCATGGCAATGTTGGCCCAAGTTAATCAACCCCTGTTTATCAACAGGGGTCCCGGTGTTTTGGGTTTAACGGGGACCCCCCACCCTATTAAAAAGCAGGGGTCGGCAAATCATGACATTCTCTCTTGGGTTGCTCTAGGGGTGGGGTGCCAAGATGGACTCCATGGCAAGGCCATCGGGCACCTTCTGAGGAGCTTCTCCCTGCTGCAGCGCCGGGCGCCGGGCGCGCTCGCGGTCGGCGCAGACGGGCAGCCGGAGATGCTCGACTTGGCCAAGCTGCGGTTCTGGGAGGAGCAGCTAGGCGTGGAGGGGGAAGAAGGGCGGGAGGGGGGAGGGGGGGAGGGGGAAAATTCAGGGGGGGGGAGGGGGAGGGGGCATGGGGCAGGGTTGTTCCATTCCGCGCCTTACTGTTGCAGCCATGGTTGAAACACCAAGATTGTTGAACTAACCTCCTCTTGGTTTCTCTTCAATGGTGACTTGGGTTGGTCGTTCGAGCAATATTTCCATTCCGTCCTTCCACGCCCTTGCGCAAAAATCAATCAATCGGTGGGCGAGCTGGGAGAAGCGCGGAACCACAACTCAGAATGTCCCGCGCCAAGCTGAGTTGTTTGTGTTGCATTTGCACCCTGAGAGGAAACATAACTAGAGCTTTTCCAGTTGCTAAAGCTGCGCCCTTGCTCAAAATCAATCCATGTTTGCAAAAAGAACAAAGGAACAACTGGGAGAAGCACAGAACCACAACTCAGAATGTAAACTTTGCTGCATTTTGCTTGGATGTTAGGACTTTAACTTTTTGCCAATTCATGGTTTTCCAAATTAAACCACTAAAAGTTATTCACTTTTAGCAGGGGAGCAGAGTATGGCCATGGAAAGGTTTCGCAGATCTTCCTTCGAGACTTTTGGTGGGCCTCTGGGAGGCTTCCTGGCCCGGCGCTTTCCGCGGCTCGCGGAGAGCGCACAGAAGGCGGCGGCGCTGCGGCGCGAGGCGAGCCGCTGGCTGGCAGGCGGCTGCGGGGCTGTGGGCTGTGGGGGGCCAGGCGGAAGGTCTCTACTGCGATTGGGTTGGATCTTTAGACTTCAACTCTTTTTTGGAAATCGATGGGGTTTTCCATTACACCCACAAAAAGTTGAAGGTTTCGCAGAGGGGTCAAGAGCAACCAAGAGGTGAGGTGGGCACTCGAGAGCTGGTTACAGGCCAGGGCTTGGTTCACTTGCCCCACTTGTGCCGGCCAAGTGGGGGTGGATTTCGCTCACGGTGCCCCAAATCTAAGTGTTGGCCATCCCCTCTTCCGCCTCACTACGCAACGGGCCTTTCAGAGACGTTCCATGGCCGGGTTGATCAAATCTGAAGGAGTTCGTTTTTTGGCAGCAGAAAAGAGCGGCGTGGAGGTTTTCAAGCACCAGCCACTTCTTCTCGTTGGTGGTGCTTTTGCGCTTTTGCGCTTTTGCGCCCACGACCAATTGCAAGGCGCTTGCATTGCAACGAGCTTCTGGGCGGGGAAAGGAACCCTTGATCCTCTAGGCGCTCCACCCGTTGCCCGGAGACACCCTCTCCAAATCACCTGAAGTCTCCAGCTCCAACCCCAACGAGTTCACCCCACCCCAACTCCACCCCGTTGACCAAGAACTCCACACCCAACTCCAACCAGACTTCCTCGCAAAACCGTCGTTTGGGTATTTTGGTAAAATCCCTCGCAACAGGAATTCCTGGATTTTGAACGGCGAAATTGGCTTTGAATCCTTCGCAAAACGGCTTCCTGGATGTTGAGAAAACTGCCACTTGCCACCCTCGGACCGTATTGGAAACCCCTGCAGCCTCGGTAAACGGGGGGCCCACTTGCCACCCTCGGCAAAAAAGATCTCCGCTCGTTCCTTGAAGGCTCCCTGGACCGCGAGAGCCTGGTGGCTGCGGCGAATGCCTCCCGCCCCGTGCTGGAGCTCCACCCGGGCTTCCAGCTGCCGAGGCGGCGGCGTGAAGCGCGCGGGCTCGCGCGGTTTGGGCGCCGAGCCCCGGAAAATTAAGGGGCTGGAGATCTCCAGTATCCTTCAAGCTGGAATCAAGACCATGCCACTTTCTCTTTCTTTTCTTTTTTTTTTTGGGGGGGGGGGACCCACTTTCTTTTTTCTTTTTTTTTTGGGGGGGGGGGAAAGGCTAGACTGGGGGGACCCAGGGTGGATGAATGCACAGATGTGGCAAGAAGCTGAAACCCTCAGAAAGAAACTGACAGCTTCTGCAGGCGAACATGCACCCCCCCACAATCAAAAGAAACAAGCACCAAAAGCGCAGGCCAGCCTTGGACGCCTTCCGGCGCCCTTCCCTCGACGCAGTGCTGGAGCCAGAGGCAGACCGCGGGGCGTGAGGCTTTCTTCTTGGCAGAAGGAACTTGGGGGTTTTACACACCCAAAAAAACCATTCCAAGCACCAAAAAGGACGACTGGGCAAGCAAGCGTGGCAGAAGGGCCAAGAACTCCTCAAAGGTTTGGTGAATGGGACGTGGACAGAGACTTTTTCCTCTGATGGCGCAAGAAAGGACGTCTCCCTCCCTATTGTGCTTTGCATATGTCACGCTGCAGGTTTCATCTTCGGATGAGTCACCATGCAAAAGAAGGACATTAGCCACTAGCCCTCTCGCAATTTTCAGATGTTTGCATGTCCCGGATGGAGCAAACAATTTTTGGATCCCCCGGAGCGGCCATGAGCGACCACCAGTCCGTGGAGGAAAAACCAAAATCAACTTCCTAGTCTATTGTTTTTTGGCAGGACCAACCTGCAGGGCAGCCAAAAGCTATCCCTTGCTAGGTCCCCCAGCTAGGTGCCCTTCTCTACCCCTTTTTTGGTTGGGAGGGTTCCCCTAAAACATACTACCGACAAAAATCGGGTACCCTTCTTCTAACCTCTCAAATCTCATGGGTTTTCCGTATTGAACCACTAAAAGCTAAGCTTTTGGTAGGGGAGCCCCTTGCCCTGGGTCTTTTCCATGGGTTGGAGCGGGGTGAGGTGCTGGCGAGGCTGGCGGAGCTGCTGCGCTCCTCCACGGTCTGGCACGTCTCCCTGCCAGGAGCCGGGGAAAGGGCCGTGGTGGTCAAAACCGTTTTGGCGTTTTGGCGCGGATGGGGAAAAAGGGTTGGGGGGGGGGGGTGGGGAAAATTCAGGGGGGGAGGGGGTGGGGTGGGAGGGGGGGGGCAGGGTTGTTCCATTCAGCCCCTTACCATAGAAAACAGCTGGGGTTTGCTGATTGGCTCTGGTCTTTCTTTTTTTTTTGGGGTAGGGAATCCCACCAATTAAGATGGAACCTGACAGGGGGGGCCTCTTTAAAAGGAAAATTGCCGTGGTGGTCAAAACCAATGGTTCTGCTCTTGCAGGCAGCGTTGTCCCGCCTTAGATTGGGACCGAAAATGGCTTCCTCCCTTGAAAATGGCTGTGGTCAAGACCGTTTTGGGATCCCAACATGGGGGTTGCGGTGAATTCACCACCCATTTTAGGCTTCCTATTTTAGTGGTTGGATTGGGCTTTGTTCACTGGGGGTACGGGGTTTGGCTTTTGACCCATGGCCACATGGCAAGCACCGGGCTGCGGGAAAGGGAAAATCCGCTTCCTGTGACACAGAAAGGACCTAAGCCCAAAGACTACTCCCCCCAACCCCCCAGAGATTTTCCGTGGTGAGAGATGCCCCCCGCTTGATTTGCACACGCGCTTGTCCCTTCGCCAAGGGGGCATCGGAGGAGTTTTTTGTTTCGGCTTCTTGCTTTTTGTTGCCCTCCGCGCATGGTTGGCGTCTCAGGATTTTTTTTCCAACCCGTGGAGCAGGTCACATCTCTCCGCTTACCCCTGGCGTCTCCAAACGAAATTTTCCAACCCATGGGGTCACCCCATGGAGCCCATGACTCGTCAGCCAGGAGCACTGGAAGCTCAGCTCCGGGACGGCGTCTTGGTGGAAAACGGAAAACGGTTCGGCCCTCCGAGCGGCGTTTTTTTTCCGCCCGGGGCCGGGTGGATTGCATGTTGTTAGTTTTAGCCATTGGAAGGAGCCCGGCAAAAAAAAAAGAGGCTACCTCCCCTGATTGGTCTGGATTGGTGGTGTAATTTGTTGGTTTTTGAGGTCCGCCGTCTTCTCATTTTGATTTTGCCGAGTCAGAGCTGCACCCCAGCCATCCCTATGCTGCTTGCTGCATGAAAGCCATATTGCATGACGACCAGGACACGCAGACACGCACATGATTCGGGGCGAACCGCCCGAGGCTTGCACGCGCCGCCGCTGCTGGAATTGGGAACGGAGCTTTCCGGGGCGCGAGGCGCGCATGGAACGAAGATCATATGAGAACGTAGAGGAAAGAGACAAAGGAGACAAGCAGATGCGCGGATGGATGTTGGCATGAAGATGTTTGCTTTCTTGGTCCTTGCAGGTGCGAACATGTGCGAACTTCACTCCGCTAGTTTCTGGACTTTGAGCACTTTCGGGGCAGACCAGTTGAATGAAGAGACCCCGGACTTTTTTCAGACCCTCACGAGATGAGTGTTGGAGGCCTGCCCCTCACAGACGTGAAGGCCCGGGCGTATCTCGATTCTGACGGCGCCTTCGAGTGCTTCCCCGCCCGGCGTGTGGCGGTGCTGATGCTGGGGGACGGCCATGAAGGGAATTTGAGCCCCGGCAGGGTTGATTTCCTCCGGAGGGGATCTGCCGTTTGGCTTTCTTGTTTCAAAACGGTCCTTGCGCATCTTTGCTGCAAACACGATTTTTCCACCTGGTTTCTAGCCGATTTTGGGCGCGGCTGGGGTGCACGCATGCCTCTTTTGTGTTTCGAAGCTCGGGGGAGTCCGTCACATCGCGTGTCGAAAGCTGCCTGGGTGGCACCCGGGCACCTCACTGTGTTGCCGGTTATAAGCGCTTGGGTTTCATTTGGAGCGCCCAGCGATTTTCTTTGCACGTTGCAGATGCGGGGCTGGCGCGGGCCGGTGATTCCCGGGGACGTGTTCGCCCGCGCGAAATGCGCCCGCTGCGTGGAAACGCTTGCGCTGTGCGGCGCGAACACCGGCCCGGGACATGATTGAGCCAGGATCCAGGCAACAAGGCCGTATGTTAAACTTGCAGCCCCTGCAAACAAAGAAGTTCAGGTTCGTAGAGGAGTCAATCTGCGATTTGTTTTCTATGTGAGCAAATCATGAACTTCAGGTTCCTTTTTGAGTTTTGTTTTCTCCCATCGATTTGTTTCTTGGGGGCTGTGCCACTTTCCCTTGGCCTTGCTCCTCACTGATTTGTGGCCATTCTCGCCAAGGAGCATCCGCTCAAGACGAGGCCGCTGCTTTGACCAGGAGGCGGAGGCTACGGGTGTGGCGCCATCAGGCGAGGTGATTCAAATCTGCTTTTCGCTCGTGCCACCCGGCCCATTTGCAGGATGACGGGAATGCGTTGTTGCATTGTTTGGTGGCTACCTCCACGAACGTGAAAACAGGACTCTGTTGCGTGGCAAGGTTGACATTGTTGCACGCCAAATTCTAACTTCAGTTTTGAGCGTGGAGCAGCATTCGGCTGCAAGTGTCTGATGTTTGTCTGCCACTTCATGTTGCATGCGGGGTTTCAATGCCATGGGTGGGAGTTCATTCCCTTCATCTCCTCGGCATCATGCCTTGGCCGCTGCTTTTCTGGCCTTGCTTGTGATCGAGTGTATATCTCCTTTGGGGTTTCTACAAGAGATTGCCCGCACCTGCAGAATCTCTGCTGGTTTCTTACAGCCTGAGCATTCCTTTCACCGCTCGCCGGTGTTCAGCGACTGGGAGGCCTTTCAGTGGGCCGCTCAGCGCTGCTCCACGGCGCGGACGAGCACCAACTCCGCGCGCAACGCGCCGGAGCGCCCTGGATGCTCCGGTGGCTCCGGTGGCTTCGGTGTTCCGATTGGTTGCCATCGGGGCCACAACCCACAACCCCGGTAGATGAATGAAGGTTACAATCCCGGGCCAAGACATAGGTGCGGAAGTCTGCCTTCTTGAGTCTTTGCATGGCCGTGGGTGGGCCATTTTGATCCTGGGTTTTGATTGTGCCTCACTGGGGCCCTGTGGTGCCAGGGACCCAGAAATGTTGAAGTGGCTCCGTTTAAGCCTATTGGGGCTTGATTGGCGTTATCTGTTCGCTGCAAGGCAAGAGCCTACCAACTTATGCTGGAGCCAGTTTTTTGCATGACGCAACAGGCAAAGTAGAAGTCAGCCAGCATCAGAGTGAATGCGTGACCCCAATGTTCAGGACGGCTTCATGCACCACATCCTGGTGCTCTTTTTCTACCTGGGCCAAGCTCCGGCCACGTCCGAGCAGCTTGCAACGGCGTCCTTCCATGAGCACGATGCCTCCATCAAGTACGACGCCGGCTGAGGCCGTTGCAACCTCCCATCAAGTATCAATCCAATGCGCGCAGCCTCTTGCGTCTTTCCTCTCCGCAGAAGGATTGGGCAGCCGCAGGGGGGCCAGGCGACACTGCGTGCGCTAACCCGTTGGGACGGCGGCACTGACGCGCAGCCTCATGTCGGGCCACGAGGATTTGGCGGACAGGGCTTACCTCAAACTTGAGGGGAGGGCACTGAGCCCATCTTGGGCGCTGCTAGGGCTCGCGCTTGCGAGCTCGCCGCTTGACGTGGCGAGCATGCCGGCCGCGATGGGTGCAGAGCGGATGGGCTGCGAATTGCAAGCCGAGAAAAGGTGAGGACCCGCCAGCGTGCAGGGTTCTGACCTCGAATTGGCCAAGAAGGGACTGAGGGCAGATAGGGGAAAAACAGCAAGAGCGTTCTGGCGTTCAGTTTGCTAGTGGGCATAGACTTCTTGTCCCCACACTTTAGGAAGCATCACCCGAAGCAGGAGCTTGGTAAAGCTAAAAGAGTACTCATGCGAAGGAGATGTTTCAAGCCTGTTGAGCAGCTGGCTTCATGCCAGGAGAGAGCCAGCGAAAAGGAAAAGCAGATGCATGCTGAGCTGTCGAAGGCACGGTGCAGATGCCTGCAGAATTCATGGCACTACCCCATGCGGTAAACCCACAAATGGCATGGTTCTGCCGCTGAATCGGCAAATCCCATGGTTTGTTTCCCTTTCAGCAAACCCCGGAAAGGGTGCCCTGAGGAAAGACACACATACAAACACAGACAAAGACGCACGTGCACACACACACACCCACAAACATGCAAAAGCACAATCAAACACGTAAACACGCGCAAACACATACAATCACGCAAAAAAACATCAAGAAAAACAATAAATAATATATAAGAACGC